GTGTCTTTTCATATCTTCTGCCCACTTTTTCACTTGATTATTTGTTTTTTGGGTGTTGAGTTTGAGAAGTTCTTTATAGATCTTGGATACCAGCCCTTTATCTGTAGTGTCATTTGCAAATATCTTCTCCCATTCTATGGGTTGCCTCTTTGTTTTGTTGACTGTTTCCTTTGCTGTGCAGAAGCTTTTTTTTTTTTGCACATCATTGTCTGAGTTAGAACATTAGCAGCTCTGCTTCCTCTACTTTTGCCTCCCAGTTTCTTCCAGTTGTAGTTACAAGTAGGAGTATAGATTCTCACCTGGTGGTGGGTCTCTCACCTTTAGGAAATTTTATTTTCTTGGTGTTTTTTTAGATGTGCCTCTGTTTGTCTCTCTTTCTGCTCATAATTCTCTCCATAGTTTCTTATTTCCAATTCTTTTGTCATAATTGTCATTGATTTCGCTGCTTTTCTCAGCCCTTACATGTAATTTGTTATCTATAGATTATACTTATCTCCTGGTTCTACTGAAGTTGTGTTTGCAAAGATCTTTTGGTTCTCCTTATTGCTTTTAGGTGATTTTCAGAACAGAAGGCCTTGGAAATAATGATACTTTAATGTTTCTATGTTTTTACATTTTAGATTTGTCCTTATTAACAGCGTGCAACTATATTTTATTCATTTAAAAGATCTAACTGAAAATTTGTCTTCTAATGGGTTTAGTCTGTATTTGTTACTATCATGACATATTTAGACTTCTCTCATTCTATTTCTCATACCTCTTTTTTTCTTGTTATGTTTCATCATAGAAGGAAATACATATTGTATTTCCTTTAGTCTTATGTATACATATGTATGTATATGTATTTCCTTTATTCTTATCCCTTCCTTCAACTGGTTAAATCATACATTCTGTTTGTTTCTTTCCTTTTGGTAGTTTTCTTAGTATTTTTTTCAATTTTAAAATCTAATTGGCTTTGTTAAGCAAGTCATGAATTGAGCAGCATCCCTTCTAGTAAGTAGAGGGAAGATTTCTTCCTTAGCATTTTTTTTCTAAGTAAGCTCTACAACCAATGTGGGGCTTGAACTCACAACCTTGAGATGAAGAGATGCATGCTCTACTGACTGAGCCTGCCAGGTACCCCTATTCCTTAGCCTTTTTTTTTTTTTTTTTTTGAGAGAGAGAGGGAGAGAGTGCAAGTGGGAAGGGACAGAGGGAGGAGAGAAAGAATCTCAAGAAGGTTCCATGCTCAGTGCGGAGCCCAGAGCCTGACACGGACCTTGATCTCATGACCCTAACATGACCTGAGCCAAAATCAAGAGTCCAACACTTAACCTACTGAGCCACCCAGGTGCCCCTAAGATTTTTTTTTAAGAGACTGTGCGTGCACACAAGCAAGTGGGGGAGGGGCAAAGAGAGAGGGAGTGAATCCTAAGCAGGCTCCACACCCAGTGCAGAGCCTGAGGTGGGGCTCAATCTCATGGCCCTGAGATCATGACCTGAGCCAAAATGAAGTCAGGCACTTAACTGACTGAGCCATCCAAGTGACCAACCCCTAGAATTTTTAATATACACATATAACAGGATATTAAATGTGACTATTCAGTATGCTGGGAATTTCATTAGAGAATAACAAATGTCAGAAAAACTATGCAGAGCATGCTAAGAGTGTGGAAGAGATTTTTGTGACCCTTAGCTCATTGTCCTCTCAGGTCTGGATTTTATATGATGATTTCTTTAGAGAGAATTGTTGGTATGCTCTGTGGTGTATCTCCTTCCCTCTTGCTTCTCTTCCTTCTCTCTCTCCCCCCACCCCAATAAATAAAAAATCTTAAAAAAAAGAAATTCCCTTTTACCCCTTCTCAGGAATCTTCCAATCTCTCAGCCCCAGGTAATGACTGATTTGCTCTGTCCCTATGGGTTAGATGACTCTTTTCTAGAATTTCATAAAATTGGAATCATATAGTATGTGCTCTTTGGTGTCTGGCTTCTCCTCACTATAATGTTTTTGAGATTCATCCATGTTTTTGCAAGTGTCAGTAGTTCATTGTCACTCCGATCTTTCTGAAATAAGAGAGTTTCTCCTGTTTCTAATACTCTCTCTTTTCCTGTTGCTTTTTCCTCTCTCAATTCCCTTGATTTCCAGTCTAACGTCAGATGTTGTGATTAAGTCATTTTTGCCTTCCACAGGTTCTGTAATCCATGATGTCTATAAAGAACTGGAACATTACAAAGATGTCACCTTCACCGAGACTTATTCCTCAGTGGAAGGACTTGAAATTCCTCATAAATAATACCCTGAAGGATATAAAGGTGATGTGTATGAGAGATATGCACATAGTGGGCTTGTACTAAATATCCCTCCCAAGGCAGCCTGTGGCATGGGTAACATGTGAGCATGTTCTTTGGAAGAGCCCTCCCATACCCCTAAACAACTCCTCCTTCTAGATTCAGATGATAACAATTATAATTAAAAGACATTCTGCTGCAAAAAACCCAAAAAACAAAACAAAACAAAAACAAAACAGAAAATGGACTCAGATGGATTAAACAAGCAGGAGGTGCCTTTGTCTTACATGTTGTCAAGGACCCATGTTCTTTTTCCTTCTTTTCACATCATCCTTAATATTTTAGTTTATCATCTTTAAGGTTACAAGATAGTTCCTGCACTTCCAGGTACCAGCTTTAAATTGCAAGTAGGTAGAAGCGAGGAAAAGGCCAGAAAGTACAGAGCTGTGCCAGCCTTGGAGTACCACAGTGCCACTCTATATTGCCAGAATCTCTGAGTCCATGATCACCCTAAACAAGATCTGAGTTTTGTTGGGAGGGAAGGAGGGGGATGAGGAAGGAGGGGGATTGATATCGAGTAGGCAATAGTACTTCCAGGCGGAGATACATTGCTTGGGTTTAAGATAATCTTAGTCTTTTAGAGTCTTCCTGAGAAAAGCACTGATACTGTTGAGTGAGTGAGCAAACTGTGTATGCATAAAGTCTGGAAAGGAGAAGAGGAATGGTGATTAATGGAATAAAGGGTATGTAAATGACTTTTCAGATTCAGTGGAGAGGAATGGGAAATTAAGAGCTCAGATACCAGTGTCCTTTCTCTCAACTCTGCTACCCATCACTGAACCAGCAATGACAGTGGAAGTTCTCTGTATTCTGTATTCTCTCAGTATACACAAAGATCTGAATATGAGAAATAGAAAGAGAAGAGAGATTGTAACTTGCAGATAATGGCCTCAGTATAGTCTCAAATCCTTTGTGGATGCAGAGAAACTCGGAGAGTTAGAGTCATGGAGCATTGTTCAAGAGGCAGTGTAGCACAAGCATCTGCTGAGATGAGGGACCTCAAAAGTAGATTTTACGAGCCTCAGTTTTGGCTAATTAGTATGACGAAGTTCATGTATTTACATCCTAGATATATACTATGTCACAAGATAGTGTGTGTTGTACATATTCTACTGTGTATCATGTTAAAAGGCATATATCTCCCTTAATACCACACACACACACACACACACACACACACACACACACACTGGGTCAGAACACAGAATGTTAGAGCTGAAGCACAGTTAACTCCATGTTGTGAATAGCACACATTTTCCTTGGATGCACATAAAAATAGTGAAAGGTGCCTGCCAAAGGGTCTAGCTCTAATGCCCATGTGGTGGGCATTCTATGTCTGTGAAGTATGAGTTTCCCATAGGCAGTCATAGGCAGTGCATCATGAAGTGTGATGGTGACAGGATTGGTCCTTTGTGTATAGGCAGGAACTCTGAAGAGTTGTTCCAACTGTGACTGGTGGGAGATATTTGCCAAGGTTGGATTCCTTTGTCATACTCATAGAGGATTGTATTCCTTTCTTTTGAAGTACTTATTTGTTTTGTACAGACAGACATTTGTTAGTTGTTTATATAATGCCTGTTTCCCCCGCTGGACTCTTATCTTCTGAAAACTAAGGCCATGTCTCTTTTACTCAGCATCATATCCCTATGTCCCCATAGAACATATCAGCCTTTCTCAAATTTTCCTCATCTAAACCATGGAAAACAAAATTATTTGAGGGGCTATTTTCTTAGTTCTCTTAAGGATGGTACATAACTAGTAGCATTCTAGATGCATAGGGGAGAAATTAATGCCTTATGTAAAATGGACACTTTAGGATATTAGGGCTTACTTCTTATGGAAACTTGGTTGAGAAAGGCTGGGAGGTACTTTGAATTAAGATGTGGGAGGGTGAGGGAGAGATGACTCCCCTAAATAGTACTTGCCAGTAGAGGGTGAATAAATGTTGGTTAGCTAAAAAACAACAGATGTCCACTAATCCTCAATAAATATTTACCAAATGAATGAGTGAGTGGGTACTCAGGCCTTTTAGCTCAGGCCACTCTTCTCTCTCAGGCTGATGAAAAACCAAAGAATGATGTGATTGTATTGAGTGACTGGCCTAAGACTCTATACCAGGAGCCTCACCATCCCCAGAGCAAGCCTTTCATCTGTTTCTATGCCATCGATGTCAACTATTTTGTGTCCTTAAATTGGGTGGAACCACATTCAAAACAAATACAGGTAAAGCTACCTCATTTTTTTTTCCTTCTTAATTCATTTTACAAGCATCATACCTCAACTGCCCTCATATCAGGATGAGATTGATTCTGAGTTAGCTCATTTTAATATGCATCTCCATAACCCAGTCTGACCTGGATGCAGTGATCTTTTTTCACCTCTAGTCATCAGGTCCAGATAATTCATATTCCCCAGAAAGCAGACTGAAGGCCAAAGAAAGAGCCTTAATCATTGTGTTTCTATTACATACCCGAATCCTAGTACCAGGAAACTCCCCAAATCAAGCTGTTCAGTCTTTCCTTAGTCTTACAGGAGGGAACAGGTATCGAAACATTCAACCCTTCCTACCCCTCACTCTTGGGGAAGAATCTGCCTCCATGGTCAGGTTTTCATTTCTCATCCTCTTCTAGGCAGTACTTTGGGTACAGAAGAAAGATACAGAAATGGGAGGAATGATAGAGAAGATGAAGTTTCCTGTGATGGATCAAGTGCCACCCATTGAAGCAATGGTCCACACAGGTTCCTACCACATGTTAATTGCTTACTGTGGTGACATGCGCCTGCGGCTCTTCGGAGATCACCATCAAGCATTCATATCTCTGGGCACAGTGCCCTGTTGTTTCTCCATCAGCTGCCTCTGCTATGACTCAGAAGCTGAGATACTGCTCTCTGGTACCTTGGGGGCTGTGGTTACCTGGCTTATCTTACCAAACGGCAGGGGCCTCCAGATGGCACAAACAGTGCTCATGTCTGATCATGAGTTTGTACAGGGCTTTTCCCTGAATGGCCCCCAGGGCTCCCTCCTGGCTCTCTGTGAGAATAAGGTGAGGGTCTTCACCCACCAGGGGCAGGGCCAGCTGAAAGAGGTAAAAAAGTTCACTCCCACAGCCAGTGGCTCTTCTATCACCTGCTCCTTCACTTGTGTCTCTCAGGGCTATTTCTATGCTGGAAATGAGGATGGAGAGATCCATGCTTGGGGTCTAGACCAGGGTAACTTCCTCCACAGCTTCCAAGCCCATTCCTTATCAGTGATATGTGTTTACAGCCGGCCAGAGACCTACACCTTACTAACAGCAGGCCGAGAAGGCGTTATAAGGGAATGGAATCTTGCCTTTGGGAACTTACTGCGGCAGCTGGATATTGATGAGGATTTGCAGCAACTGCAGTTTATTGATAACACCACGTTTTTCTGCCAGACTACCCACACTTTCTCATTGCACCACCTACCATATTTTTATAGCCTCTTCAATGTCTGTGGTTCTGCTCCTGAGCAGGTGCAGCGGGTCTGCTGTGGCCGTAATTGGACTCGGATCCTGTGTGCTACTAAGGATGGTTTATTGCGCTTCTTGTCTCCAGTAACAGGAGATCTCCTGGTTATCACCTGGCCTCTACTTGTCATGGATAAGGCCGTGGCTTGGGCCTATGACTCAGACAAAGAAGAGCTCTTTGTGGCAACAGGCAGTTCAGAGGTGCTGGTGTTTGATGCAACACGCTCTCCTTGCACGGCCAAGTATCTGGTATGCACTTCAGTAAACTCTAGGGATAGAGTAAGGTGCCTGGCCTATGGGCAGTCCCATTTGGGCATGGGCCTAGTAGGATTGATGTTCTGTGGGCATGACAGTGGCGTTGTGAGAGTCCTCTCCCACTACAGCTGTGCTCGAATAGAAAAGACTGTTCACTCTGGGGCAGTTTTGGCACTGTCTACCCTAGAAGGTCCTCAGGAAATCTCCTTACTCTGTTCCTATGGCATGGATAATACTATACACCTGACAGAAGCTGTGCTTCAGAAAAACAAGGTAATCCTGCAGCCCGTAAGCAAAATTCTCTGTGCTTGCCCCCTAACACACGTGATCCTCTTGCCAGGTTCTGTGGGTGCCATCACTGAGAACCACTGCTGGCGTCTCTGGCACTACCAAGATTTTCTGAAATCTTCAGAATCAAAACAAAGGTCTGTTAGAGACAAAGAGACAAAATGCCTGCACCAGTGTCACATCACTTCATTTGATGTCTGCTCTTCCCTGAAACTTTTTGTCACAGGGGGCACTGATGGCTCAGTCCGGATCTGGGATTTCCATGGTAGACTCATAACTGAGTTGGACTCAGCATTGCATTTCGGCCCACTCTGCTTTGCCAATAATCGAGGTGACCTGCTTTTGACTTTCAACCAGAGTCTTTACCTGGTATCCTGCTTAAAATTGCTCCCTCCTGCTCAGCTGATTCACCTAGCCATCCTAAGCAGTGCAGATGATATACAAGAAGTCCCTAAACCCTTCCTGCCTAGCTTCTTCTTTTCTTTTGAAAGAGTATTTGTACCCAAATTTGTCTACCTTGGACAAGGGCTGCAGGAATTACAGGGACTAGAGGCCCTTGTTAACAAACGGGTCATTGCCTTTGACAATACTGTGCCCCATGTTGTAGAGGAAGAGAGACATATGTCCACTCTGATTCAAGTGGAACCCAAATCACACTTTTGGGAGGATAAGGATATTGCTTTTGACCCCAAGCATAATCGTCCCCAACACTTGGCTCCTGCTCAGTTACATCTTGCTGGGTGGGATGGATTGAACCCCTACCATGTATTATGTTGCTTCTTTGGTAAAGGGCGGCAATGGCCCTTTGCTCCTGATGGCTACATCCCCAACTCAGTTATCCGTGCCCGCCTTTGGCCTGATGGTACCCCAATCTTCTTACGCTATGATCTGTACCAAGATAAAGACTGGGACATGACCAAACTCGTCAGATGCCAGACACTGTCACCTATGCCTCTACTAGAAGAGAACATCTCAATGAGAAGAGAGAGGGATAAATCCAAGAAGTGGAAACGAACTTTCTATGATGTTCTAGTAAGCATAATGAACCAAAATTGGACAGGAAGAAAATTTGATGAGGGAATTATAAATAATTTAATCGAGGCCATCCTCAACCTCACAATTTACTGCTCTATAGACCAATACAAGACATACATTAGTGTCCTGGCACAAATTTTTGCCACTTATCAAGTATCTCCAAGATTGTGCTCTGAGGCTGCCTGTCGCCTGATGGAAGATACAGTTCATCCCAATGCATGCATCCGTGAGCTAGCCTGGGAGGGGTTGGAGAGGCTAGGTGTCCTGAGCCATCTCTTTGCTGTTCCACTGGCTATGGGATTGATGGACAGTGATGAAAATGTGAGGGCTAAGGCCTTATACCTTATGTTAACAGTCACAGGCATCCAAACTAAGACTATGCTGGCAGGCCTGCTGAAGAAACGAGACACGTTCCAAGAAATGCAGTAAGTTGGGTAGTGGCTTTCCCCCTTCTGTTTCTTCTAGTTCCTAACCTTTTCTCTTATTCTCTTTTTATACAACGTATTCCCTTTTTACACAACTCTCTTTCTATTCTCCCCCCCGACACACACTATGTTCTTTTTTTTCTATTTGCTTTTTTCCTCCGGTGCCTACCCCTCTTCTTCTAACCATTGATTAGCCTGCCCTTCTGTCACTTCTTCACTTCCTTAAGATTCCTCAAGACTCAAGTCCACAAATCTTCCAACCAAAAAAGCATCTTGTATCTGGCAATTCTATTCCTTGCTATATTTGATTATTTCTTCTTTACCCATCCTTTACTTCAGACTACTCTGTCCTCATGGCTACTTTATCCCTGTCTCTTCAATTGTAATTTCTCCTTCTCCTCCTCCCTGTTTCTCTCCTTTCCTTCACTCCTCCTCCTCCTCCTTCTTCAAATCTTGTTTTATCACTGGCTTGGTGTCATCCTTCTTTCCCCTTGACTTTTGTAGGCGGGAATTTATTGGAGAAACCTCTCTGGACCAGCTGCTGGGGATCCAAGCTAAAGATATCCAGTGCCTGCTTACTCAGGTGGAGCAGCAGCTAAATGAAAACCTGACTTTGTCATATAGAGACCAACAACCTACTTTTTATTTAGACATATCAATGGCTGGTAAACCTGAGACCCTTGTCAAACAAATGGTCATACCTGAAGAGATCACCAAACCAAAGAAAAGAAAGACGTATGTTCAAGCAAAAAGAAGAGAGCTTAGTATGTATGGGGTAATATATGGGGTATATTTGGGTCCCACCTCAGGGCACCAAAAGACAGGGTCAGTAAGGCCAGGGTATCTAAAATGATACCAGTGGGAACATAATTACATAAAGAGATTCTTTTCCACAGAAAATAACTTTCCTGGGAAAGAAACACATATACCACAACAAATACCAACGTCTTATTTCTTTAGGATATGAAAGCTGGGATAAAATGGCAAGCATTTCTGTACCATAAAGCCTCAGTCCCCTTTGCCTTTGTACCTCTTTTTTTTTTTAGTACATGTGCTGCTGAAGCGAGCACTACCTTTGTACCTCTTATGGCTGTTCATTGGACTAGATATTACAAAGGATATTCACTGAGACCTTCTGTTTTTTCTTAACTATTTTTCTCCCAATATCTCTGCAGTTAAAAAGGACCTGAGAATTTCCAGAAAGCCAAGACAGACAGAGTTTGTAAAATTTAGCTCTATGTTGGTGCCTTCAAAGGATGAAGATGAACAAAGAGAGGCCAGGCAATCAGAGCAGATTGACACCAGGGATGTTACCTTAGAGCCTAAACTGCAATTAAGTACTTTCAGCCCAGCCAAATCTCAAGAGGATGCTGAATCAGAGGAGGTTGTGACGGAAGCCACAGAAGGAAGAGGCCACATGGAGGTGACAGAGGTTATGAAGGCCACAGATCAACGTGGCATGAAAGATTATGGAGAGGTGTTCCCTCAGGTGGAAATACACGAAGTAGAAGGAGGAGGCCACATGGAGGTGACAGAGGTTATGAAGGCCACAGATCAACGTGGCATGAAAGATTATGGAGAGGTGTTCCCTCAGGTGGAAATACACGAAGTAGAAGGAGGAGGCCACATGGAGGTGACAGAGGTTATGAAGGCCATAGATCAATGTGGCATGAAAGATTATGGAGAGGTGTTCCCTCAGGTGGAAAGACAAGAACTCAGGAGTAGGCGCTGGAAAAGGGCACTGGAAAAAAGCCGTGAAAAAGTAGCTGCAAAGTTGAAAGAGGAAAAAGACTTGAAGGATATTTCAAAGACAACTGCAGAAGAGCCCAAGAAAAAAGTCATGCAGATTACTGAGCAAGAAAAATATACAAGGAAGAAACATGGGAGGAGTGACCGAGGTTTGGCTGGTATGCCTGGACGCGTGGGTAGATCAGATACCAGGTCTTGGCGGGATGACATTTGCTATCTTGTTACCTCACGGATAGCAAATTCCCATCCAGGAATGTTAAGAGATCTGGGTCAAGAATTGGTGGACTTGGCTCAGGTGGTGCTTAGTCCCCAAGAGCCCAGCTGGGAACTCTTCCAAGAGATCTGCCCGCTTCTAAAGGACTCATCAGAATTGGATGAACAGGTGGTAGAAGAACCAACCATTATAACTGAAAAGGCGGATATAGAGGTTGTTGAGGAAGAAGGGACAGAATTGAGAGGACAAAGGGACAAAAAAGCATTAAAAAAGGACAAGGCATTTTCTCAAATGAAGAAAAAGAAAGTTGCTTTCTTAGATAAACTAGCCTTAGAGAAAGGGAGATTTAAAAAAGAAGCAAGGAAACTGGCCAAGCGAGAAGGGAAAACAGCTGAGGAAGAAAGGAAACTGAGTACGCCAAAGAAGAAATTAATACAGGGAAAGGAGAAACTGACCCATCAAGAAGAAAAAATAGCTTGGGAAGAAAAAATAGTGGCTTCCCCACAAGAGAAATTAACCCAGGAAGAGCAGAAGTTAGTCTTAGGAGAAAAGAAAGAGACTGGAAAAGGGGGGAAACTGAGGGAAAGAAAAAGAGTGACCTGGAAGGAGGGGAGGGCAGGGGTAAGTGGGACTTGGAGAAGGGGTAAGTGGGACTTGGAGAAGATTATAATGGCCCATGAAGAAGGCATGTGGCCCCAGGAAGAGGGGTTGCCTATCTGGGGAGAGAGGAAATTGTCCCAGGAAGAGGAAGAGCTGGATGAGAAAGAGGAGGAGCTGGGTGAGAAAGAGGAGCAGCTGGGTGAGGAAGAGGAGGAGCTGGGTGAGAAGGAGGAGGAGCTGGATGAGGAAGAGGAGGAGCTGGGTGAGGAAGAGGAGGAGCTCGGTGAGAAGGAGGAGGAGCTGGGTGAGAAAGAGAAGCAGCTGGGTGAGGAAGAGGAGGAGCTGGGTGAGAAAGAGGAACCTTGTGAGGAAGAGGAGGAACTGGGTGAGAAAGAAGAGGAGCTGGGTGAGGAAGAGGAGCTGGATGAGAAAGAGGAGCAGCTGAGAGTGGAAGAGGAGGAGCCAGTTGAGGAAAAGGAGCCAGGTGTGGAAGAGGAGAAACTGGCCTGGGATGCAGAGGAACTAATCCTGCACTTAAAGAAACAAGTTGAAGGCAGGAAGAAAAAGTCCCACAAAAAGAAGAAACACATCCAGGGTATAGAGAAACATGCTGAAGAAGAGATCCAGGAAAGGGGGAAATTGGCCCAGGAAGAGGAACATTTGTCTAGTGAAGAGGAAGGACTATCTGTGGAAGAAGGAAAACAGGCATCAGAAAGGGGCAGCTTGGCAGAGCAAGAAATTAAATTGACTCCAGAAAAGAAGAAATGGTTAGGAAAGGAGAAAAAAGAGTCCTATAAAAAGAAACAAATCCAAGAAAAGAAAAAACAAATTGGGAAACAGGAGAAAGAACACCAGACTAATAAAGAAGAGAAAGAATCCAAGGACAGATGGTTAGCCCGGAAAAGAAAGAAACTGGGCCTAGAAGAAGAGGAAAACCCTGTGGAAAAGGAGAGAAGGGCCCAGAAAGAGGAGGAAACAACCAAGAAAAAGAGGCAATGGGCCTGGGAAAAAAAGAAAGCTGACTTAGGAGAGGAGGAACAGGCTAGGGAAATGGAGAAGTGGTCACAGGAAGAAAAGAAACAGGCCTGGAAAGAAAAGATACAGGATCAGAAAGAGGAGAAATTGGCTCGAAAAGTGGAGAAACAGACTGAGGGGAAAAAAAAACGGGCCAGAGAAAAAATGAAACTGATCCCAGAAGAGGAAAAAAAGATAGAGGAAATTGAGACAGTGTTCCCCCCAAAAGAGAAACAAGCTAAGAAAGAGGAGAAATGGGTTGGGAAAGATAAGAAATCCATTGATGAAAAAGAAGAGATCCACAAAAAAGAGCAACTAGCCCTAGAAGAGCAGAAACAGGCCCAGGAAGAGAGAATATGGAGTCGGAAAGAGGAGAAAGAGAGCGATCAAAGAAAACAATGGGCCTGGGAAAAAGAGAAATTGTCTGTAGAAGAGGAGGAACACGCTGATGAAATGCAGAAAACGTCCCAGGAGAAACAGGAAAAAGCACTGACGAAAAGACTGACCCAGAAAGACAGTAAACTGGCCAAGGAAGACAGGCGTATTGATAAGAAAGAAAAGGCAATAGCCAGGAAGGGAACTGGCATAACTAAGACAAAGAAAAAAACTGAGGAAGAGAAAGAAATTATGAAAGAAGAGGAACTGTCCCAGGAAGAGAGGGAACTGGCCTATGACATTAGGACCAAGGAGATGGGTGTTGCCAAGAAAAAAAGGAAACGAACCAAAGAAGAGAGAATACAGGCAGTGAGGAAACTGGATATGGAGAAAGGGATTCGTTCTGAAGAAAAAGAGGCTAGTTCCAGGTTAAAAGATATAAGGAAGAGAGAGAGTTACCTGTTGAGGATCCTATCTAAAATAGTTAGAGAAAGGAGTATAGTACCACTGGAAGAAATAGAAATATCTGAGGAAGAGAGATCATGTATGATGGAGAAGAGTGGAATGGATGGCCAGAGGTGGGAATTTTTTAAGGAAGAGAGAGAAATAATGAAACAAGAGAAGGAGCTGGATCAGGAAGAGAGAAAAGTAGAAGATGACAGACTGGCCACCAAAGAGAAAACACTGACTGATGGAGAGAGCTTGGAGGAGAACCAAAGGTTATTAGAGAAAGTCCAGGGAAAGATACTATTAGATAAAGTCCAGGTAGAGAGTATATTAAAGGAAGTCCAGGAACAAAATCTGTTAGGAAAAAAGCAGCTAAAGAAACTTCTAAGGAGACTTGAGAATAAATCAGATAAAACTCAGCTAAAGTACTTATTAGAGAATATCAGAGATACCCTGTTTGAAGGCTTATCTGAGAGTTTGACTGAGGAGGAAATAAAGGAAGGTCCAACGATGAAGGGGAAAGAGGAAGAGGGCATCACTGAGGAAGGAGAAGAGGAAGAAATTTTGCCCAGGAGAGAGAAAGGGAAATATCTGATTAGGAAGAAGAAAAGGAAGGCAAGCCTGAGTGAAGAGGAATTGGAGGAGAACTTGGCTAAGAAGCATAAGAAAGAGAGTTCAACCCAAAGAAGGAAAAATGAAAAGAGGTTGACTCAAGAGAAAGAGAGGCTGAGTAAGAAGAAAAAGGAGAGCCCACATGAGGAGGAGGAGAGCCTGAGTGAGGGGGAGGAAGAGAGTGTAAATGAGGAGGAAGAGGAGAGCCTGAGTGAGGAGGAGGAGGAGAGCCTGAGAGAGGAAGAGGAGAAGAGCCTGAGTGAGGAGGAGGAGAGCCTGAGTGAGGAGAAGAGCCTGAGTGAGGAGGAGGAGAGCCTGAGAGAGGAGGAGGAGAGCCCTCATGAGGAGGAGGAGAGCCTGAGTGAGGAGGAGGAGAGCCTGAGTGAGGGGGAGGAAGAGAGTGTAAGTGAGGAGGAAGAGGAGAGCCTGAGTGAGGAGAAGGAGGAGAGCCTGAGAGAAGAGGAGGAGAGCCTGAGTGAGGGGGAGGAAGAGAGTGTAAATGAGGAGGAAGAGGAGAGCCTGAGTGAGGAGAAGGAGGAGAGCCTGAGAGAGGAAGAGGAGGAGAGCCTGAGTGAGGGGGAGGAAGAGAGTGTAAATGAGGAGGAAGAGGAGAGCCTGAGTGAGGAGAAGGAGGAGAGCCTGAGAGAGGAGGAGGAGAAGAGCCTGAGTGAGGAGGAAGGGGAGGAAATGGAGAAGATAGAGAAAAGAGAGGAGGAGGAAAAGGAGGAAAGGCAGAAGGACAAGGAGAGCAGACTTATGGAGGTGATACGCTCAGAAGAGAGAGCATTGAAAACAGAGCTCTCCAAGAAAGAAGTGAGCTTATCGAAGCTAGCAATAGAAGATGAGGCTCTTGCTGAGAAAAGGGAAGGTACAATTAGAAGGGAAATTCCTTTTAAGAAAGAAAGATTGCTTGATGGAAAGAGAGATCCCACACTTATGGATAAGGTCATGTGGCCAACAGTTCTGAAGAGCCCTTTCAAAATACCACTCCCAGTAGCCTTGGAAAAAGAGAGAACGCCCCTAGAAGTGTTGAGGGTTCATCTGGATTTGGAAGGACAGGAAAGTCAACTTCTTGGAGCACACCCTATGACAAGTTCTTGGGGAAGACAAGAGGATGTGCTCTTGGAGAAAGCCAGGGGTTTGAGAATAGGCTTAGAGACCCAGATCCCAGAAGGCCTCCACAGGCCAGAGTCCCACTTATCAGATATTATCATGAAATCACAGAAACCTGAACGTTGGCCCAAAGGTGACAGGTGGAAGTGGTTCTTTAAGTACCAGGATTCCCCAGTGAGGAAAACTGAAGGCCAGGCTCCAGGGCCAGCCCCAGCCCCAGCCCTATCCCTTACTTCTATACCAGCTGAAAGGCCATGCTACTCAGAAGCAAGCTTCTCAGATGAGGACTGGATTAACAGTGCCTTAATAAGGCTGGAAGCAGGAGAGCAGCTTTCCAGGGACAGTTTCCACAGACTGCACCAGCTCCTCAGAGACTTCACTTCAAAGGGATACATGAAATGGATGCATCTGTGCAATCTTAAAGCCATTGCTAAACACCTAAGGCAGAACCTCGAGGTAACTCACACAGACATATCACAACAGCATAAGAATGCTGTGAGTCCAGTGCACTTAAAAGTGATCCCTCCAATTAGAAGAAAAGAAAAAGAGAGCCGGCTAGAGCCATTCCCTGTCGTTGAACCAGTGTTACCATCAGCTACCAGGAGGTCTCAAACCCCAGAAGCTCTCAATTGGCATCTCTTAGCTGAGTCCTACAGGAAGAAGCAGGCACAACAATTATCCTCTGCTGTTAAGGAGATACCACACCTTTATCCAATCAGAAAGGATGTTCCCCCAACTGTCTATCCCCCTGTTGATAAAAATTCCCTGGACTTGATATTCCAGAAGGACTTCCAGGCCTTGAGGGATAAGGGAGAGCTCCCCAAATTTCACAAGGCAAAGAGGGACACACTGTCCATACCTTCACCAGTGTTACCATCAATCACCAAGAGGATTCGAGTCCCAAAGGCTATAAATTGGCATCTTTTAGGAGAAACTTACAGGAGTGCACGGGTACGGCAACTATCCAATGCTCTCAAAGAGATGGAAATGAAACATTTCTATCCTGCTGCAAGAGAGATTTTCACAGGTGCCCATGCCTCTGTGGACAAACAAACTCTAGCACTGATGTTTCAGAAGGATCTCAGGGCTTTTAAGGGAAAAGACAGGCCCCTCACATTGCCCAAGTTGAAGAAGGCACAGCCCATCTCTAAAAAAAAGGAAGAGGTGCCTCAATGGGAGACATTTGTGGCACTGTACCATGTTTTGCAGATGATGCAGCAACAATATGCAAAAGACAGCACTGCTTGGATGGAACAGTTTTACCAACTCATGGATCTGTACAAATTTAAGTCCCCCCAAATCCAGAGGCTTCTACTAGAGTTGCTGCAGAGAGAGGAACTCCAACCCCAAGAGATCATGTACAAAAAGGCCCTGAAAACTCAGGAGCTGGTACCTGGTGAACGGTTGTTCTGTGGCTTGTTTTGGGGTCATTCCCATGTCCCTGCAAGTCCTCTCAAGTTCCATAATATTGTACCTCTGCCTGGGAAGAGCAGGGTGCATACCATCCAACCTGTGGGCATCGCCCAGTATGGATTCCTAGAACTTGCCTGGAAAAACCTACCACAAGTCAATCCTTACTTTATTGAGAAGCCGCCCAACATCCCTACTCCTACTCTATGATTTGGCCTAACATTAGGACTTTGGGGTCTTGGTGGGAAATAAGCCTGGCAATGGATTTTAAATCCATTAAATTAAATCCTCCTTCCCTTTTCCCCACTTCAAGGTGGGGCTAGACAAGGACTTGTACTCATTCAGTTCCAGAAACCTGCTACCTTGTGCTGAATAAAATGACATTTCTCATTTGTAACAATATTTTGGCTTATTTCTCTTCCTCCCCAAAGCCTAGAATCCCCATGAGAAAACAGATAACCTTTGTCCTAACAGGGCCAATTGTTTTTTCAGTCAGTGGGGTACATCCTTTGGATGGTAGGGGCCAGCATTTGATCAACTTTTTTTTTTTTATCAACTTTTGATAGAAAAGTCTGTCCATGAGCTCTTTTCTTTGGTTAGTATTTCCTCCCTCAAAGGTTCCTAGAGGGAGAATGGTACAGTGGGGCTTTTATTTATTTAGCATTAATCTGAGAGGAAGCAGAGAAGACCCATAACTTTGCCCCTTCACAAACTTTGATCTATCATTCCTGGATGTCTCTAAACCTCAGTGTTCTCATCTACATAATGCGGAAATAGAGTGAAATAATGATTAAGAATGCCAACTTTGAATTTGGAAGAACTCTCATTCCAGTTCTTTTTCTGCCATTTATTAGCTCTTTAATCTTAGCTTTTGGTTTCCTCAAAGTAAAATGCTGATAATGATGCCTACCTCAGTGAAACACTTAACACAATTCCTGGAATATAGTTCTCTTTTTCTAATGGGTAGCTATTTTAATGGGAGATGTAGCTATCTTAAGTGTGTAGATGAAAATAAGAGATCTAGGATTCAAATAGGATTTGAATCCCTGCCTTTTTAAAAAAGATTTTAGGGCGCCTGGGTGGCTCAGTTGGTTAAGCGACTGCCTTCGGCTCAGGTCATGATCCTGGAGTTCCAGGATCAAGTCCCGCATCGGGCTCCCTGCTCAGCAGGGAGTCTGCTTCTCCCTCTAACCCTCCCTCCTCTCATGTGCTCTCTCTCTCTCTCTCATTCTCTCTCTCAAATAAATAAATAAATAAATAATCTTAAAAAAAAATAAATAAGAAGATTTTAAATTTATTTATTTCAGAGAGAGAGACAGAGATAGTAACAGAGATCAAGAGTGGGGAGGAGAGGGAGAAGCAGGCTCCCCACTGAGCAGGGAGCCCAACATGGGGCTCAATCCCAGGACCCTGGGATCATGACCTGAGCCAAAGGCAGACGCTTGACTGACTGAGCCACCGAAGCACCCCGAATCCCTGCTTTCAATACGACATGTAATCTTTTTTTTAATAAAGATTTTATTTATTTATTTGAGAGAGAGAATGAGAGATAGAGAGCACGAGAGGGAAGAGGGTCAGAGGGAGAAGCAGACTCCCCGCTGAGCAGGGAGCCCGATGCGGGACTCGATCCTGGGACTCCAGGATCATGACCTGAGCCGAAGGCAGTCGCTTAACCAACTGAGCCACCCAGGCGCCCTATGACATGTAATCTTGAGCCAGTGATTTCACTTCTCTAAGCCTCAGGGTTTTTTTTTTTTAATTTTTCAATTGTTTATTCTAATTCTCAGTTTTATCATGTGCAAATGAGGCTCATTGAGAGGCCCAAATGAGATTCTGAGTATGCCTATTTTAGTGTACTGGGAACACAGGAAAGGAACTGAAGGCTAGAGGAGGGGCCTGGGACCTCAAGGGAGTTTGAGGGTACCTTGGGAGAGGGAACAGAGCTCAAGAAGAGAGTCTGCAAGAGCAAGGGAGAAGCTAGAGCTTGAAGGAGGTGTTTGGAAGCCCAAGAGAAGATCTTGGGCATCAGAAATCAGACTCCTGAGGGAGGTGACAAATTCTGAGGAAAAAATTTTGGTAGCCCAGGAGATCAGAAGCTTGGGAATATGGAGAAGAAACCCTGGAGTAGGAGACAGATTTCAGGGGAGAGGTCTGAGAGCCAAAGGGAATAGATGGAGTTCACAATGTACAGAAGCTAGTAAGTTCTGGAAACAGATCCCATGCTCAGCAAAGGCATAAGAGAGAAGAGCAGAAGAAGCAGATTTTGTGGTTAGAGGAGCCAGGGAGCCTTGAAGGAGGAGCCAGAGCTTAGGGGAGATGCCTGGAACCTTGAGAGGAAAGCCAGAGTGCAAGGCAGAAGGGTTTAGGAGAAAAGGGAAGAACCAAAACTTTGAGAAGCCTGCGAGCTTCCAGGGAAGGAGCAAGAACCCAGAGAAGCAGTCTGCAAGGTCAGAATAAGTTGAATAAGTCTAAAGATTTAAAACATACACCTATATGAGTTAATTCCCTCATGTAAAATAATAAGAAAAAAATATATACACACACACATACACATATAAAGTCTTTGCCTCTGGTTCCTGCTAATATTTGGTCTTGGACCCGTTTGTGACACAGAACTCCTAAATCCCTTGGAATCTCCTGGGAGATAGGTGTGTCTTTTGTTCTAATGTGGTGACTGTTGGTGGACTCCTAGAAAGGGCTGGTCACTAGAAAGACCAAGCCATGTATAAAAGCTTGGAACTTTCAGCCACATCTCCTATCCTCTAAATAAGGGCTGGAGGTAGAGTTAATGATCAATCATGCCTACACGATGAAGCCTCCATAAAAAAAATCCCAAAAGTATGGGGTTCGGGGAGATTCCAGGTTGGTGAACACATTTACATGCCAGAGGGTGGTGCACCCCAACTTCATGGGGCAGAAGCTCCTGCACTTAGGACCCTTCCATACCTCACCCTATGTATCTCTTTATCTGACTGTTCATATGAATGCTTTAAAATATCCTTTGTAATAAACCAGCAATAATAAGTAAACTGTTTTCTTTTGTTGTGTGAGCTGTTGTAGCAAATTATTGAATCTGAGGAGGGGATTGTGGGAGCCTGCAAATTCTATCCAAGTCAGACAGTTCTGGGTAACCTGGGTACCAACTACCTCTGATTAGGGTCTGAAGTGGAGGGCAGTCTTGTGGGAGTGAGCCCTTAACCTGCGGGATCTGTGCTGGCTCTAGTTAGTGTCATAATTGAATTGAATTACAGGACACCAAGTTCATATTAGAGAATTGGTCTGTGTGGGGGAAAAAAACCCCACACATCCAATGTCAAACATGTTGTCAGTGTGAGTAAAGAAAAACATATTGAGTTTTTCCAGAGTTTTTCCTAGACAACCCCCCCCCATAAAATATCTCCTCAAATATCCTATTTCCAGAAGAGGGAAAAACAAGATGAAAGGTATTAAATGTTTAGTTTAAAGAACTAGAAAGGGCCATATGGAAATACTTTACCTTAGCCTGGGTGGTTGTTACAGAGGTGTATACAATTGTCAAAACCTGGTGAAGAAACTGAGCTTGACTTATTTTTATCAACAGATAAAATTTTAAAAATTATTTTAAAATGTGGTAAATGATACATAACAAAATTTGCTATTTTGGCCATTTTTAAGTGTACAGTTTAGTGCACTAAGTACATTGACATTGTTGTGCAACCATCACCAGCATCTGTCCGGAGAACATTTTTCATCTTGCAAAACTAAAACTCTGTTCCCATTATATAGTAACTTCCCATTTTCTCTACCCCCCAACTCCTGGCACCTACCATTCTACTTTCTGTCTCTATGAATCTAAGTACCTCATATGAGTGGAAACTTAAAGGTATTTGTCCTTTTGTGGCTTATTTCACTTAGCATAGTGTCTATGTCTTCAGGGTTCATCTATGTTGTAGCATGTGTCAGAATGCACTTCCTTTTTAAGATGGAATAATATTCCATTATATGTATATACCACATTTTATCTATCCATTTATCTCTTGATGGGCACTTGGGTTGCTTCCACCTTTTGGCTTTTATGAGTAATGCTGCTATGAACATGGGTGTATAAATATCTCTTCAAAATCTTAACTTTTTTTTTTGGTATATGCTCAGAAGTGGAATTGCTGGCTCATATGGTACTTCTACTTTTATTTTTTTTAAAGGAATTGTCAATCGGTATAATTTTAAAAATACCATTAGGGTTCATTCTAGTGATCATTTTCTGACTTTATGCAGTAATCTAAAAGTATTTCACAAACTTTGAAATAAAGTATAAGGCTCATGTGTATTTTGTTTTTATTGTTTCATTGAGGTATAATTAACATGCAATAAAAGGTACAGATATTAAACTTTCAGTTCAAGTTTTGACAATTGTATACACCCCTGTAACAACCACCCAGGCTGAGGTAAAGTATTTCCATATGGCCCTTTCCAGTTCTTTTGTGTCCATTTCCAGTCATTTCTCCAACTCCCTCCTTCAAGGTAACCACTCTTACTGCCTTTAGTTTTTCCTGTTCTTGCACTTCATATAAATGGATTCATAAAGTATGTACACTCCTGTTTTGGGCTTATTTTGCTCAATATGTTTTTTGAGATGCATCTATATTGTGCATATCAGTAGTTTGTTCTTTAATTATTGTATGAACATACATGATTTGTTTATTCTCATGTTGATGCATATTTGAATTATCTCCAGATAGAGGTATTATGAATGAGGCTGTTATGAACATTCTTGGACAATACTGTGGATATGTTTTCATTTCTCTTGGGTACACACTTCAGGATGGAATTTAGGTTTTTTTTTTTTTTTTTAATATTTTATTCATTTATTTGAGAGAGAGAGCATGAGAGGGGGGAGGGTCAGAGGGAGAAGCAAACTCCCACTGAGCAGGGAGCCCAACGTGGGGCTCAATCTCAGGACTCCAGGATCATGACCTGAGCCGAAGGCAGCCACTCAACCGACTGAACCACCCATGTACCCCAAGGAATTTAGGTTCTTAAGAATATTTTCCCAAAGGGCATCTGGGTGGTTCAGTTGATTAAGCATCAGACTCTTGATTTCGGCTCAGGTCATGATCTCAGGGTCTTGGAATCGAGCCCTGAGTCAGGTTCCACACTCAGTGTGGAGTCTGCTTCTCTCCCTCTCCCTCTGCCCCGCCCCTTGCTCTTTCTCTCAAATAAACAAATAAATC